CCAAAGGGACATAAGGTTGCGACATTTAGAAGCTCCCACCTTCAATGGACCTACTCTTGACCATCAGTTGCACATTCGCAACGCAACTTTCGTGAAGCGCGCCAACTGTGATACTGATTAAAACCATCTACATTCATATCTTATAAATTATCAACCCAGCTGTGTAATTTACTACAGTGGATATTGTATCATTTGTAACAATTTGATCTTGCCTGTAAACTGGCATGCCTCATGTAACAAACTGTTATTTGAGAATAAATTATGATTATTATTATTCATACTATTCGTTTTTTCACTTCTTCACGTAAAGGCTAGTTCAGTTTATCTCAACTGTTTTTATCCATTTTCGTCCGTTTTAAGTGTGCTTTTTAGTGTATTTTTAACGGTCTTATGCTTTTACTAGCATCTATAAAATAAGTTACGTCAATATAGTTATGAAAAATTTATGCAAATGACCTGGATGCCGTTTTGCTGTTACATCTGACATGCAGTGCAACAACTGCAAAGGTTGGTTTCACGAAGCGTGCACAGATCTCACAGCAACTGCTTACAACAGACTCAGCAAATCCGATCATAAGTGGATATGTGTCGGGTGCAACACGGATGCTGAAGTTTTGCTGAGTAACATCATTGACAGGTCTGAGGGATAAGTTGTCAGCAAACTTGCAAAATCACAATCATAAAGAGACGCGCAATGAAACCAAGAGGGATGTCGACAGGTCTACCATCGATGGAACATGCATTGGCACCAATGATGACATGTTGAAACTCAGCACCATCATCACGTCGACGGTAATCGACTCCCTCAGTAAACTCGGTTCTCCCAGCTCAGGGTCCTTGAATGCAACAGTGGCTCCCAAAAACTCTGTAGGTGAGCCAAAAAGGACCAGGCGTCACCGTCTAAGTTGAACATCCCTGGTTTTGTATGGAAATCAGCTGGTGATTTGGTCGCACAGTCAACCCCCAAGAATGTCCGTCCGGTCATCAAAGAGCCTTGGATTCATAAACGTGCTTCGAACTCCAAACAACAAGGTGCTGAGCCTGGACGCACCGGAAAACCCGGGAAAACAATAACGGTTCGCGATGACTCTCTCATAATCATGAACCCCAAAGACAACCCTGACCTTCTTCCCAGTCTGCAGGACAAAAATGACAGGATGCTCTGAGGTGAATTGAACAAGAAACTCGGACTTCCTAGAATAGAGCTTTCGATAGTCACACGGCTCACTCAGGGAAAGGAATCTTAGTATCAAGATCACTCAACGTTACTTCGTATAACACTCACTAATGCTACCGACGTAGAGGATGTCTTGCTAGCGAGTCATTTACTGAAATCCGATGAGAACGTAAGAATACTGCCCGACATACCGTACTCCGAGCGCAATGTCATCCGGAACATCTCTAAGGAATACCGCGAGACGTTTTTCCGCGGAAGACATATCATTGTACAAGGTGTACCGGAAAACACGAACCCTAATCAAGCAAACTCTGATATTAGGGAATGGAAATTCATCAAGCAATCCTTGAAGCTCAAAAACATACTGACTCAATAAGTGACGAGACTATCCAAGAAGGATGGATGGATGGAAGGATGGAGATTCTAGACCCCGACTAATGAAGACAACTTTCCCACCCTCCCATATGGCAGCTGCAACTCTGGAAGCATTTCGTGCCAACAGACGTCGGCTGCCAACTGTAATCCATATGCATGCGTATAGGACACATGACGCCAGGATCAAGCACAGAGGCAAGTCGTAGCTGACCATTCCACCTGTGGACCGTCTTGATAAAAAAACGTGTAAAAGGCAGGGCTATCAACTTAGAAAACCTTGTATAGGTAGGCTACCTGTCCATTCACGTAACGCTCATCCAAACAAACAGAAAGGAGAAGATCACGCGTTTAAATTGAAAGCAAAAACTGCTTGTACATGAACGCTGCGAGTTTCTCAAATAAAATGGATGAGCTACGTGAACTTAGCAATGCTGATAAGGCTCATCTGATAGGAATATCTGAAACTTAGATATCTCCTCAGTTTACGGGTCCGGAGTTAGCAATACCTGGTATGTCTTTGTTTCGCAACGACGGAAAAACAGGAATTGGGAGTGGAGTAGTCTTACACATACGATCATGCCCGGAGGTACACCAAGTTCATAACCTCGAGTTTAACAATCTTGAGGAATCCATATGGTGCTCTGTAAGATTGCCTACTACTTCGAGGTGTCTAGTCGGAGTCATATATAAGAAGCCCACTGCCGACATCGAGTATGACAGTCGTATGCTGGAAGGACTATCCTGCTCTACTCGTCTCGTTTTCACTCATATTCTGATTCTAGGGGACTTCAATCTTTTCAGAGTCAACTCCGCGGAACGTATGTATATTGGAGGTGAAAACTCAATTAAAGCTCGATTCCCCAACCTCATTGAGGACTTGGGATTATACGAAAATGTAGTCAGCAACTCGTTGGAGAGATAGTCAGGCACCATCGCGCTTAGACTGTGTATTTACAAATGAAGAATCCTTGTGGACAACCTCTCAATCCTGGCTCCCCTGGGAAAAAGCGATCACGCCGCTATAGCTTTCAGTTTCGTCAGCAAAACCGAGTTAAGATATCCCACCATTAACTTGCACTGGAATTTCAAACGGTTGAATGTGTCACTTCTACAGAACTATCTACAACAGGTGGATTAGGATGTTCACCCTCAAATTGATGTGGATGCTCATTGGGACTTCTTACTGCACACGCTTTTATGTGCTACAAAGCAGTCAATTCCTCAAACGGTCCCCAAAATCTACAAGCCACCTACAGTCATCAAGAACCGCACTCTTCGTTTGCTAAGCCGCAAAACGCACAATTTGGCAGAATACAAACGAACTGATAATATCGGCGCGTACAGGCAACATAAATATATAAGGAACATATGCACAAAGGCTATAAGAGAAGACAGGCTTCAGTACCAGATAAAGCTTATGGATAAATTTGTCTCTAATCCGAAAAGCTTATTCCGTTATGCAGCCTCTCTTCGACAAACCAAAACTGGAGTTTCCTAACACCTAGATGCTAATGGCCTGACTTGTAACGACGGTGACACCGCCGACCTTCCGATTGAACAGTACTCTCGGATATTTCGACCGACTCACATCAACTATACTGATGAGAGCTTCATCTGCAACTACACAGGACTTTCCGAAGTGAACCTAGGCTCTGACTTGATGTACCGGAAACTGTAGCACCTAAAAAAAGACACTTCTTCTTGCCCGGATATGGTTCATTCGCTATACTGAGGGAAACAGCTTCAATCCCGGCAGCACCGTTCAGCGGTGTTCTCACACTCGCTAAGCTGAGGCAAACTAGCGGAGATTCGAAAGCTGGTTCACGTCACGTCAATTTTCAAAGGAGGTCGACGCAGCGAACCTTCAAGCTACCGTCCGGTGGCCCTTCTCTCAATACCTTAAAAAATTATGAAGTCCCTGATGTGACGGCATACACGACCATTTATTATCCTTACACTTCTTTTCACCCCAACAGCATGGTTTCAGGAGAAGTCGTTCTTCTATAACCAACCGGCTGACTGTGGTGGATAGATGGACAAGCATCCTTGATCGCAAGGGGAAGGTTGACATAATTTACCATACATGTCTTATCAACAATCTCAAATGATTGGGTATCAGACCACCTCTCATCGATTGGCTCACTTCATACCTGAAAAATCGACATTTTAAGGTCAGGGTTAATTCCACTTTATCTCAGGCTACGGAATGTCCTAGTGCGGTCCCCCAGGGCTCAGTACTAGGGCCTCTTCTCTTCTTGATCTACATAAATGATCTTCCTCAACAGGTAACTTCGGACGTATTACTTTTTGCCAATGGCGTGAAACTTTGGAGAGAGATACGCAATCAAGAGGATATGCCGCCACATCAGGAGGATCTGACTCGACTTCATAGTTGGGTAGGCGACAACACTTCAAAGTGTAACGTAGTCCATCTGCGACATGTTGCAGACTACAGTTACAACTTAAGAAACTCCTATCTAGAAGTATTCCAGGTTGAAAAGATTGAGGAGTGCTGATACCCACGATTTGTAGTCTTACTCTAACTGTGACAAAAATGCCTTCCGAGCAAACCTTGCGCTGATAACATTGAAGCGCATTTTTGGCCAGTTTGACGGAAGAACTTTCCATATAATCTTCAATAGTTTTATCCGTCCCCATTCAGAGTACGGAAACACAGTATTTCCTCCCTCACTCCAAAAGGATAAGGACACTCTGGAGCGTATGCAACGGCGAGCCACGAAATCAATTCGAGGACTCAAATTTAAACCTCATGAAGAGCGCCTCCAACCACTTATCTTTTACCCATTAGAGTATAGGCGTCTTAGAAGTGACCTTCTAATGGATTGCAGTATCCTTAACACTTCTGGACACCCTCTTAAACACCTACATAAGCTTAGTTCCAACACTAATCTAAGGGGTAACACCCAGAAACTGGAGATACAACTTGGCAGAACGGACTGTAGACACAACTTCTACTCCTTAAGAGTTGCCAAATGCTGGGGTTCGCTGCCGTCTAGACTAGTCCAAGAGACTTTCCAGGAGTCCTTTAAGAGGCAACATGACATATTCTTAAGGACTAAGGATAATATCTTACTGTGATTTACCGATTTCCATTTTTTCTTCTATTATCGTCGATATACCTTGGTTCCTGCCTGGGGGTATTGGTGATCCCCTGCTACTAGACACGGAAGCCCATTAAGCGGAAGTCTGTTAGGCGGAAGCTTCTTCTATTCCGTCCTCAACCATTTGAACCATTTGAACAACTCTAGTTTACGACTTAAAATCCTCACTTTTGAGAACTATAATTAGTTTGTTTCATTTTTACTTCTAGAGTTAACGAAAGACCCATTATTTTGAATTGGCTTTAGGCTTGAAGAATAACTGATACATTGTTTCTGCACAGCATAGTTTAATTTTTAGGTTGTTTAAGTCGCTCAAAAGTCTCTATGACCTAAGTCGGTGGGTTTTTGGTTGGTAATTTTTTTGATGTCGGGCGGTTGCGTACATGTATCAATCAAGTTAGATATCTTACATCCAGATTATTTGTGTGATCTTGTAAATAAAACACCAGAATCGGAAATTGGTGGATGTAAGAATGTGTTTGGAGAATCTGTTACAAAGGGATCTATATTCCTTGACGCACTCGATTTCCAGCGCAATAAAATTAAAAATCTTCTAAATGAAACACTCAAAGAAAAGTTGAGCACATCCAATAAAGGGTTGTTATCTACTGCGCAAAAAGACTTAGACGCAATGGAGAAGAAGAGGAAGATAGCCAGGTCCGTATATGATGAAATGCTTCAATATGGTAAAAGACTTCTAGAATGCATCAGAATTTTAAAGGTTAGCTAAATGTATGGTTCATTCATTCGAAAATTACAGGATGTCAATGATGAGTTACAAAATGTTTCGTCATTAAGATGTAACAGCGTAATTAATGGAATGTTCAAGGATATACCGTCGTTGTTTAAAGTCCATGAACATTTGACTGAAAGTTTTGATTCCTGTGAAGCTGAAGACATAGAATTGCCCTCAACTTTTACCAGTGACAAGGAGATGCAAATCTTGAATATATACAAGAGCTTCTTATGTCGTTATGCAGTGAATTTCAAGACTTTTTCGGAAATGTATTCCACGAATGAAGAGCTTCAAAATATATGTAAAGGTATCGTTGTAAGTCGAATAAACTAAATCTTTTGGTGTTTAAGATATAAAATTTGTATTTCATTGTCTCACATTATGGCTTTTAAAATCGTACGGAAAAGTCTTGTTATAAGTACTCAGTCGTGAATATTTTCGAAGCTTGACAATTGAAAGATATGTTGTATTATCACCCAAAACTTATTTGTTATAGTTGCATGATATGCCTTCTGAGCTTAGCTTTCCGCTATCATCAATATTATTATGTTGAACACTTTATCCTCTAGATCAAGAGAAGTAAAAGTAATCAATCTCTTAGTAAACCAGCTTACTCAATCTATGTATTACTAGTGAAATACTTGAGTTTAAAAATCTTTGTATAGACGTCATTTTGGAAATCTAACCGCGAAATTCTGAACTGTAGTCTAGAGATCCTTTCAAATTTCAGCCTATGTGACGGAATTAATTTTTTCACTTCAACCTGCAGGTAATTCATAATTGTTTTTGCTACAATATGTAAGTATAGGTTCTTGTGCGCAAATTTGTGCCACACTGTGTGGAACTGGCGGTGGTATTCGATTGTTTAAATCAAAGTAGGTTGTTTGCTGTTTCAGTCATCGACTCCATGATTGAAGTTTAAGTTACTTATTCACTAAGCCACTTGTCAATGTAATAGGCATCAAGTCAAAAGTGTAAAGCAAACTGTATACCTTGTCGCATGTTGTATTAACTTAAAAAAAATGTAATATCGTATGGTTTATGTGATTATGCATCGAAGTTCGAACAAATGGCTTGGGAAAGATTGGGCGTCAATTATGTAGAAAACATTAGATGCGAAAAATGTAATTGGATGCTCTCAGCGATTACCGAACGAAACGTTGGAACCATTCAACTTTCAATCGCTCCGGTTATTTAAATACAATTTTTACATCTAACGCCAAGTATTTTACTTTCATAAATGATACTTAACTAGCTTATTCGTTCATTAAGTTTTCATCTTTCATATAACATTCTAGGCAAAATCTCAGTATCAAGAGCAACGTATTCAGAATGTACCTGGGATGTTCTATGGTGTCAGCACAGCATTACCACGATACAAAGATCTCATTTATAGTAAGCTTCAATTGTTAAAGAACATCTCCGATAATTTGAGTTAGGGCTTAAAGGAACCATGTTTTCGAGCGACCCAGAATATACAAATGTCACAAGTGAGCCCATCAATAATATAAAGCCCGTTCTTACCGTAATTTAGAGGCTTGGAATTTCATCAAGGATTTATTGGATCGTTCGGAACAAGAAATTATTTTGCAGGTTAGTCTACCGTGACAAATGTTTTTGCATATACCATACCAATAATTTTACAAACCTAAAATAATTATTCGTGAATGTAACTTCGGTAGGTAAAAGTCAGAAAAGATTCAAAGTAGACAAAATGGAAGGATACTTGATCATGGCGGAGTACATCCATGTAAATGATCAGTTGCAATTATTTTTAAGCTTCTCTCTTGTCTATTAACCATAGAACTAGTTTTCACAACCTTAAAATAATTATCACAGTTAGCATGCACCAGTATGAAGTCATTTTTAAATTTGGTTTAATTTCTCAAAGTATTTAGAGGTGTTGTTTGTCAAATAATTGCATCTATTTAACGTAGTAAATAATTCAGTACATATAGTGGGAATAAAACTTCACACTGCACATTAAGTATTTCAATCTCTAACTGGTTAGCGTTTATTTCTTATCTTAATTTTCTGGTTACTTGTTAAGTTTAGTCCCAATCGATTTTGCTAAAATTACGTTTGTCCTTTTATCAAGGAGAAAATGTTGAATGCTAGAGAAGCACTTGGTAAACTGGATGGTCTTCGTGTAAAGTATACTCAAATTCCGTTACTACATCTAGAAGGTCCCGCAAAGAAACTACCTAGACGTTCAATACATAGACGGCTTTTGGATAGATATTTATTTCTTGTAAGCTATTCTTTCTGTCACATGGTTAAATTACTAACTTATATATATATTGTCTAAGATTGACGAAAAATAAGTTTCTAACTCTTTTCATGTTTCTTACTACTTAGTTTGACACATTCATGGTCCACCTGATTGCTCATCAAACCTATGTCAATTAGTTATTTACCTCAACACTATCAGTTATTTGTTCACTGAATGAACCCCTTGGAGTTTAGTAACCGTTGGAATAAAATGAACCTTTGTGTATTCAATACGCCCTGGAACATCGTTCATCAACTTGAACATCTTTGATAGATGAGATTCATATAGGCACTACGTTTTATGAAAGTATTTTCTATTCACCATATTCTCGTTTCGTTTAAGGCAGCACATTTGTGTCAAATATTTTCTGTGCCAGATAGGAAACGCCAACATCCGCACTCTAATAGGATATTTATTAGTTCTACTCAACAATTCATTGAGTAAATGGTTACAGCTGCATCAAATTAGTAATTCAGTCCACCAGTATAAAGATAAACAAGGACAACCAGTGATTCAGAAGTGTTACGAACTCTTCATCTTCAGCAATGATTTTATTAGCATATTTACACTACCTTAGCATTTAAAATATCCCTCAACAGTGTAGAAACCCGACGAAGCCATGTGCTTGTTTCTACACTACTCATGTTCCAGGTTACAAGTCAAATGGTGCACAATAAATCAAAACTACTTCAGCTAATAAACCTTTTTACAATTAAGTTTATAATTTTCGTACTGAAATGTTCAGCAGGTTGACAATCACTATCAGATGTTCATGACGAAAACTATTTCCCTCTGAAGTGTGACTCATATCACAGGGTATAACGTCATTTAGTTATAATTAGGTGTATTTTTCCAGCATATCGCTCATAGTTCGTCTTTTCGCTTTATTAAAACATGGAGATTTCAAGTTGTCTCCTTATTTTCAGTTTTCCGAATATTTGGTCATGACTGAATCCCCTAATGCCGTTGGTCGTTATCAAGTTAAGTCAGAGATAGGTTTGGCTGGAATGACAGTAAGTTTTCTTATAATTTATGTGTACATCTTAATTATTTGATGGGGTTCGTTGCACTCTGATGTTTTTGTGTTGTTGTCGTCCTCTATTTTGAAATTGTGTATATCATTTTGAAAGACATTGTCATTAATTAAATTCATGGTGATCTTGTCTAGTGTTCATAGACTTTCCTAATTAAAGATCCATTGTTTCAGACATGATTCATATACTTAAGTCTATCTAAATTAGTAAAAGTTCTTGCACTAAATTAGTAAACTAACCTATAGTTTTCGGTAATAGTTAGCTTTAAAGTTGTGTTATAAACTATATTCAGAACAAACACCATTCACAAACTCCTTCCTGATAATCAAAATTATTTTTCAGAACAAAAATGACACCAATTTAATGGTGAAATTCGTGTAACCAATTTATCACATCTAGTTTACTGTCAACGTTTCAGTTTCAGGGATACCGATATTACCCGGTATTCCAGATTAAAATAGATCAATGATGATATATTTTATAAAACGTAACAAGATATAATGAAAGCAAGAACGTGGTTTTCAAATATATCGTAAACTCGATGTTTTCGATGCATTTTCTTCAATTACATTAGTTAATTTAATCCGGTCCCTCTTGTCTATGACTTAAAACAATTGCGACAAACAACGTTCATTATCATATCTCCCTATTAGCATTTAAGGTTAACCGTTTTACTGAAAGATTTATTATTCCATACCTGTGTTAGAGTTTATTCGTTGACCATAAGCTTGTGATATGAATATTTAATCAAGCTAGATTCATAGCTTGTCGGATCGAATCTACGTCGGGATGATAAACTCTTAACTTACCAACGTTCATGCTCCATCTAATATGTAACCTTTATTCACGTCTTTTCATTATCTACCCAGTCTTGAGTAAAAACCGTTAAATATTATCAGTATTCAAGAACGAGAAATATTAAATCCGACTTGGCAATAAACTAGGTTTTTAACATTTACTGACGCTTCCATCCAGTGAATGTCAATAATGAGGTGAATGATATAATATATATAATCCCGTAGCTTTTAATAATAATTAGATCTTCGTTTTTTTTTCTTATGACCAAAATGAGTACTTTACTACTCAATTTTATCATGTGGGGATTGAGAACTTCATAATTAGCACTTCACCTTATATCCGACTTTATACAAATAGCATATGCTTCAACTTCAAAATTATACTACTTTTCTTTATCAATTAGTTATGTGAAGTCAAAGATGATGAAGAAATCAATGTTGAACACTGTTTTAGAATTAAAGCGAAAGAGCTATGCGTTGAGGTTGCTTTCTCGTAAGTAAACTTTATTTTTTAAAATTATAAAATCATTCTTTTCAATTTGATCAGTCATAAGAAACATCACATCAAATCAAATGTAAGATTAGTAGAAGTAGCAAGAGTATTACTGGTAGTAGGAACGATTAGGCATAGCGAATATCATTCGAAATATTGAATTCAAAGATTGAAAGGTATGAAATAATTTTGAAACTCAAGATCTAAAGAGTGACGAAAAGTAAATGCATCTGTTCCACAGTGACCTATTCTGACCCATGACTGATAACGTACCAAACTATTAGCCATGATAATCGCCTGAACCTCAACCATATAGCTGGAAACTACCAACATGACTCAAATCAATAGTTAATATTTTCATAAACTGATCCTATGTCTTCGTTTGGCCTCCTCTAGCTCTCTCACAACCTAATCCTGCGCTGGGAAACATGGAACATCTTTGTAGGCAGTGTTTACGCAAACGTAATATATATTTCTACCATTTCTTCCGGTGAAGATATTGTTATAACTCGTGACCGCCGATTAGAGAGCAGTGACTTATCGATCGGACCAAGGACGCGTAAGACACGTGCGAGCAGCCTAGAGTCCTGATTGGTCTTGCTCCCTGTCTAGCCCAGCCAGTTAAGTCCAGAACACCGATCCGAGCATCTGCGATATGAATCATTATATTTAAAACATAATGAGTTTATATACCAATCAAACAGACCACAACGTACCAATAAAATATGAAACAACATTTGTACAAGAATTAGCCAGATGTGGCTGTGAATGAGGAAGGTAGTAATTAATATACTGGGTATAAATCAAGAATGGCAAAACGTATAATAATAGTTTATGGGTCAAAATAAAGCTTATAATAAGAGGAATATGAATATGCATAGTTCAGTTACTTATTAATTATACAGTAAAAATATACGTTTATTATTGGTTCATAAATGGATCTCAAAAGTTACCATTCAATTTTCTTGTCGGGACATAACAGATATGCAATCTGATCAGCCATTTTACCCTTCTACTTAGTACCCTGAAAAAATTAGTTAATTGAATGTTTAACTAGTTTTAGTATATTTCAGTGTGTAACAGTTTTTAACTCCACTGTTTTAAAACTGATATTAGTTTAGGTGGATTTTAGAGATTATTGAATGTCATAGTTTACATCGCGGACTAAGTCTAGTTAGACATCCATTAAGAGTTAAGGAATGCTAAAAGAATCGTTTAGTCTCAGAGATAGTATCTGAGATATTTTAACCTTCTGAGTAGATTTTCATCTTCAGACCACTGTGTCATTACTTAATCTTTCAGATTTTCAGCTTCAGTCAGCATTGAATATTACGTGGCTACTATTCATTACTATCGGTGTTATCTTGTTCGTACCTAACATGATTGTATCATGATAGATTTTCCAATTATTATTATTTGCTAAATAAGAACTTTCGTCTAGATTTGATCGATTAGTTTCACAGTATTTGGGCGCCAAGTTAATGTGAGGCATTAAAGAGGAAAAATGTATTTGTAAAATCTCAGCGAATGAATTTTGAAGTAAATCCAACGTTTCGCCTGCAAATCTAGTTCAAGCTTTTTCAAGGAAATATAATCAAACATCAAAATTATCGAATATAAATAGGTACATGGTTCTCCGGTTTACTGTATACTGAATAAGTCATCCAATCAATGTTAACAATGTTTAAAGTAGGTATTTACATTAGTGTGTAAGAGATATGTGGTGTGAAAAATGTTAAGATAACAGATTGTATGTATATGGAAGTGAGAAGAAATTTCATTCACCATATGTTGTCTTCGGTCTTCGGAGAACCATGTACCTATTTATATTCGATAATTTTGATGTTTGATTATATTTCCTTGAAAAAGCTTGAACTAGATTGGCAGGCGAAACGTTGGATTTACTTCAAAATTCATTCGCTGAAATTTTACAAATACATTCTTCCTCTTTAATATTCTTATTTGCATCTTCTTAGATAACTATTCAAAATATTGTCTGCACCATATGTCTAAAGTAAGACTTATTGTGATTGTTGAAGGTAACATTTAAAACGCTCACTGTCACTGTGCACTATACATTCAACAGTCAATTGTATTAGCTGCATAGTTCACTATTGACTGACTTGATGGAATAGATGATAAAAAAGGTTATTTTCCAGTTCGCAGAAATCTTCCAGTTTCCGTGTTTTTTATTAAGTCATTTGGGTTAATGAATACGTCGTTAAGATTTTTTGGCAAAATTTAACCAGTCTACAGCAACTACTAGCCGAAAAAATAAGACGCTAAACCTTTATTGCTTAATTCTCTAAAACTGTTTAGTTATCGTGTATATTCTAAAAGAGCTGAATTGAAATCCCCTCATCTGAATGTAATTTAGTTACTATCAAGCACATTGTCTGCTTATTCGGGTTCGACCCAGATTGTTTGTGTAAGGACTAGTTAGAAATGGCCAAACTAAAACTGAGCATAAATCCATGAACGAATTGTCCGTGATTCTTAGCCATGTTGACAGATGTCAACTACTTGATTAGGTTCTATGTGTTAGAAGCAATCAGTAGGTAGAGACAGACGTTAAGTAACATGACTTAAAATCGTCCACAATTGCTCAGATATATTTATTCTTTATCTTTTTCTAGATCTTGCGTTCTAGTATTCCTTCTTATAAATCTTCCAATTTGAATAAAATCAATAACCTTTAAAGAAAAATCTTGGTAAAATTATGACTGCACTTTCATTTCATTATTACATACATATATACATCTCCACAAAGTATAATAATCTAAACATTAAAAAAATCAATAAACGATAAATAATTGATGTGTGCTGATATTTTGTTCTACTTAATTGTGCCATAGTCTGAAGTTGGTCAATCGTTTGATTGTGTAACTATGTTTAGTAATTCTCAATATGATATAGAACCCATGAAGAAGACAACAACTTTTCTATCATTATGGAAATTTTCCCTAACAAGTGATATCTAACATCATTTGCCTTAGACTAGTAAAAAATCAGTGATATTTTGATTTGTCCAGTTCACTATCCCCTACCTTTAGTTCTACTGCAGTCAACTGATCACGCTGGCATTAGGAATTCGATAAGCGATCAAATGTGAATAGTCACATTGCAGTAAATGAAGCGTATTATAAATACCTTTATTTGTTTGTCAGGTTCCTTTTGAACAACATTTGACCATATATAAGACTATATCCATTGTTTATTGGTAACTAAATGGTAAATACATTGCATAAAATCTCTCTCTTCCCTTAAAACTGCTTTATATCTTTCTTTCTACCAACTAATTCTTTCTTCTCGTATTATATCCTTATATTCAATCTTTATTTTATATATTACGACCACTGAATTAACTGCTTCTATGAATTCGGTGTTCATCTTGTTGTGCTAATGCGATCAGTCAGTCAGTCAGCTGTAATGTAGGATCAGGCACATATATGCATCGGTCCAAGTTGCTAATGAGGTATGGCAACTTGGACCGATGCATATATGTGCCTGGTTCTACATTGTAGCTGACTGGCTGAAATACATTGTTACATTATGAAGTTTCACTTGAGAATCAAGTATTGAAAAGTTTCCACTCATTAAACAGGACAAACTTGTGTTGGAAGTATTCAAGACCAACCAAAGTAAAAGGACATGTCTGTTTATGGTACGGTTCTGCAGTCATCTCATCCTTAATGTAAAACACAGAGTTTGATACAACTGGTCGTCGAAAGTATGAGCCACAGGAAATAGAATAACAGTATTTTGAAATGAAAGTGGGAAATAAAGAATAGATGGACTATGAGGTTTGTCAGATGATATAGCTCCATTCCAGAGTTGGTGTCCATTACGAGATTTGAACCCAGTACCTTTCACTTCAAACTAAGACTGATCAACTTCCAGTCAAAATATCAACAATGGGATAATTCAAATCACTTTAAATTGAATTAAAACTCGTACCCGTAGTAGCTAAATAGATAATCCGATGACATTTGAAGTGAAAGGTGCTGTGTTTGAATACTGGGACGAACATAAGCTTGGATGCAGGTATATTGAGCTGTCGAGTCCCAAAATAGGACAAAATACTTTTCGTTGATTTAACTGTTGGCCACAGTTCATTTATTGTTAATAAGCTTGTGAAATGATTGTTATATCGAGCCAGTTCGCACAGGATGCACATGTGCCAACTAATACTGATCGAATTTCGGGCAATATGAACAACTGGACAATCTAAATCGTTTCAAATCGAATTAAAAGTCGAAAACTTTATTGTTGGGAAGATCCAGAAAACTCATCGAAAAAAGGCTCCGCAAACGCTGAGAAGCATCTTATCCAATCAGTAGAAGTTTTGCCAGTAACATCTAGATAGTGAGAAGTCGCATGTTGAGTTTCTGATTGGATGATTATCTATACTGCTCTTATGTTTAGTAGCGTTCCAGATTTTTCCAGAAACCTAAGGCCATCTAAAATACTATAAAAAACACAGATTTTCTGTACATAAACGAACCTTTGGAGTAAAGCTTTTCTTCTATATTTCTCACCTTTTCTCTCGTGTTCAAGTAGCTGTGTATATCTGGCCTGAGGGTTAGTAGAAGACCTTAGGAACCGAATCTAGCGTTCAGTTAGAAGACTTATCATTTATGAAATCAAGGAATAAACGAACAAGAGTAGTATCTGATAAGAAAAATACAGTCCAATAAAACTACAACTTGAATAAATTCCTCTCAATTAGGAAAATCCATCTCACATTTATGAAAACTGCAATAGAATGCTACGTCAATATCACTACTGGCTTCTATTCTGAATCGTGTTTGATAACGTCTGAAGCCACTAAGTCACATGATCTCTAAGACCCTAACCAAAATATTGTGGCAAAGCAATAGCCTTTAGTTTTATACAACTGAGTTTCATACTAAAAAATCGCACCTTATACTGACTATCTCGTTGCTTTCTCCACTCAGTCCCAGCTTCGATAAAATGGTGAACAGTATGGAATCTGCTGGGATGATATTTTTCAAGTGATCGTTTTATTAGTTAAATATCTGCTGTCTTGTTTTCTGAGAGATACTATGATTCAGTTGGTGAAAAATCCGCCTTTTATGGCTAGTTTTCATTTGAGATGGTAGTATTATTAACTTTTATACAACAGATATAATTGATGATATAAAATGAATAAAACCACCTTAGATTACTGGATTGTATTCATCAGTCATACTTTACACTACTATTTCAAACATTATTAGGTCAAAATATTGGTCTGGTATTTTCTGTTAAAAATAGTAGAGTAAACGTGCCATAATTAAACATTTTTATACGTGTTCAGCTACTTAAATGTGACCTACGAAAAGTAAATACATAAATAAGGCTTATTGTGATTGATTCATGAAACTTTGGCAGTTGGAATAAGGTTTAAATCACTCGAGGCGAGATCGTAGGTGCGCACTACTGAGGAGTACCACGATAGGACGAAGCGACTGTTCAGTGCTTCCAGGTTTCCCATCACAACTACTTAAATTACTATAATATCCACTGACTGCCTCGATGTGCGATGTTTTGTTGTATAGGAGTAGATTGGAAGAAAGCTAGGGGCGGCCAGACCAAAACATGGCACAAGTCCATGAAGTCACTGACAAGTGAACTGAGTCATGTTGGTAGGTGTAGACTACCTGCTTCGGATCCACGAGACGATAGCAACCGATGGTTAGAGACCCTGATTGACATGGCTCAAAATCGTTTGCAATGGCGCAGGTGCATACACTCCTTGTGTTCTCCCAAATTCTAATCTTCTGAATTCTTCATGTCGCTTTCTTTTTTCTCTTTCCAAATTTGTTTCACTGGATTATACTCCTTGAATAACATCTTCAAACCCTAATTTTTCTGATTACAGCTTATAATGTTACTACATCTAGCACTACGGGATTTGAATCGACAAATGCATCTCTGTGCTAATGTGGTGTGGCAACTCGAACTGATGTACGTACGTACGAAGTTCTACGTTGTTACTGACTGACCACAAAAACCCCTTCTGATACTAATCAACGTATGCTCACTAGTGACTGGCTTCAAGGGGTATTTTCTGGAGTTCTAGTGAGAAGCAGTGACCAGTGGAGTTCAACCGGGTCTGTTGTGAGATAATAACTTGCTGAAGACAGTAGTGGATATTGTTATGACTTTATGTCCGGCTTTTTATCACGTTATTTATCCACTAATCAAAATACGACTTATAAAATCTTAGCACTGTGCCAAACCAATGACGTTCGACCGGTATGAGCAGCCTAGTGTCTTTATTTCAGATATACTGGGTTTATATATCAACCAAACAGACCGCAACGCACCATAAAATAGGAAATAACATTCATACACAATAAAGCCAAAAAGTGGCTGTGAACGTGGGAGGCAGTAGTCAATAAACTGAACATAGCATAAGAACAGCAAATCGTACAATAATAAATTATAGATCAAAATAAAGCTTATAACAAAGGGAATATAGATATACCTAATCTAGTTACTGAATATTTATACCATGAGGATATATAAATAATATTAGTGCATTAATAGGTCTCAGACGTTACTTGTAATGTAATCTTCACTAGGATATAATAGATGTGTCGCTCAATTTCGTGGATTAGTTGAAGTTAGACATTAACACCGTTGGATGCCGGCTCAGTGGTCTATAGGTTAAGCGTTCGCGCGCGAGACCGATAGGTCCTGGGTTCGAGTCTCGCAAGTCGTGATCGCGGATGCGGGCTTCTGAGGAGTCCGATGTTGGGACGAAGCGGACTTCGAATGCTTCCGGGTTTTCCATGATGGTCTAGCTTCAATTGACTCATCACAACTATTGAAATTATTATAATATCCACAAAAACCCCTTCTGATAACTTGATTTGTCAAACGTTCATATGTGTGGTAAACACCTAATAGCTGCATCCATAAAAACGTCTAATCCCTTGTCTTTCGGTTTTTTCTATTTAATTACCGTTTATTTCAAGAAATGATGACGAAAAACAACTTTGGTGGCGTGAACTTCAACAGGCTATTGATTGTGAATGTAATAAACCGAATAGTAATTGTTTCAATGAAAAAGTAAGTTGGTTATCATTTGTATGATATTAATGTTATTTACTTTTAAGTAATGACAACTACTCTTCTTTCAATACTCTGATATCTATCTTCCTATAATTATTGTGATATAATTACAATATTTGTGGTCATTTACACGTTTATCTATATCAATCTACTTCATTTTAATTGTTGATTGCACATCAGATGATGGCAGTATATAAGACCAATTTGATAAGTTATTGTGGTGGCTACAAACATATTAAAACATTTTAAGTGCTATAGCAGACTTTGAAGCCTATTAGGACATATTAACGTTAGCGTATGCCAATACATAATAAGTCCCTTGAATCAACTTTGACAAGCTATATATTAGATTTGAAACTTCTTGGTACTATGTAATCATGATTCCTTTCTTACCGGTAGTAGTTGAGCCTAGGGTCTTCATATATCGTTACAAACACGACGCTTTTAAATCATTCAATTGGAATCTAGTAGTAGTCGACTTTTCCAGTTTTAGTAGATTCCCGCCATTATACGCGATCACCATCAATGCAGCATTTATCGTATTCTTGAAGACCAACTTAATAATAATGAGCTGAAGACCGACCCCCTGATGGACTTGGAGTTAGCTAGGTTACATATGACATAATCGGAGAAAGAAGTCGAGCTAGAGAACTTACGTCACTGAATCATTGTATCGTGTCCTTGTTACTGTTTAATATATGTATGTTTATTGTTCTCTTAGTAATTAATTTTACTATTTTCAGTTTTGTACAATTTGTATTAAGTTAAATTTTAGAAACAGATGATAATTGTTGGCTGCATGCATAGTTACTTGTTTTGACCATAGCACTGCAATAACTCTATGTGCAACAGTATAAGGACTTATTCAAAAAATTAATATGTAGGCATATTAAATCCTACAGCGTATATCTGTTTATTAGCATTAAAAACATCTTTATGCATATTGTCAGTCAGTCAGTCAGTCAGTCAGTCAGTAACAACGTAGAACTTCGTACGTATGTACATCAGTTCGAGTTGCCACACCACATTAGCACAGAGATGCAGTTGTCGATTCAAATCCCGTAGTGGTAGAGGTAGTAAGAGTATAAGCAGTAATCGGGAAGATTAGTGTTTGGAGATGTTATTTAAAGATTATAATCCAGTGAAACAAATTTGGAAAGAGAAAAAAGAAAGGGACATAAAGAGTTCAGAAGATTAGAATTTGGGAGAACACAAAGAGTGGATGCACCTGCGCCATTGCAAACGATTTTGAGCCATGTCATTCAGGGTCTCTAACCATCGGTTGCTATCATCTCGCGATCCCCAACCAGGTAGTCTACACCTACGAACATGACTCAGTCTACTTGCTAGTGACTTCATGGACTTGTGTCATGTTTTGGTCTGGCCCCCCTAGCTTTCTTCCAACCTACTCCTATACCACTGAACATAGCACGTCGAGGCAGTAGGTGGTTGGGCATACGTAACACGTGTCCCAGCCATCTCAACTGATGAAGTTTCACTACTTCATCAGTTGATTTGCCATCCTTACCTAGTACCCGTTTCCTAACAACTATGTTACTTACTCGATGGTCCCATGATATACGAGCAATGTTTCGAAGACACCTATGATGAGGAAGAATCTCACTTACTAATTTCTGTTTAATCTTTTAAAATTTCTTTTTAAACATTAGAAGTCAATAATGAGTGCAAATAATTTAGGTGAAGTTGCAGCTCAATGGGTTAAAGATGAATCATCCACTATGTGTACAAATTGTTGTACAGAATTTACTACACTTAATCGACGACATCATTGTCGTGCATGTGGCAAGGTATGTATCATTTTATTTTGACTGCGTGTTTTCAATTTTCGCTTTAGTTTACAACGTTATTATGTATTCATTAATAATATAACATGAAGAACATTTAGTCCCATTAGGACCTTAATTGGGCAATAGTTTTGTTATATATTTGTAAAGTTCAACATTTCCTATCTCATAATCGCTAGCAACTGTTTGAATTCAGCCATTACTGTCTCAGCAATATCATCGGGATCTTTGGACCACACTGTGCAAGTAGATGTTGAAGTTTAGCAACTTTTAATTGAACACAATGGAAATTATTAGCAGGTCGATGTCACTTCTGTGGTTTAAATATAAATTCTATGCTCGTTATCTCAGAGACCACTCATTATTAACTTTCCAGGTGAGTAAAAAACAAGAACATCGAAAGCATCTATCTGGACTACAATTCTTATTCATTATTTTACAAACAATTATTCTAAGCAATATTCCTGTTTTATCGAAGCAAAATAAGTTTCACAGTTTTCAAACATTTTCACTTGAGATTTTTGAACAATACGGTGAAATTTCAGAAAAATCTTTAATTTCAGCGAGACTATAATTTATGGACGAAGCAATCAGGTATAAGATAACAGGTTTCAGATTTTGGTGCGAAATTCACTCAGTCATTTGGATAAATAGAGTTTTAGCATTACAGCTGATGTCAGTTCGTAATGAAAACCCTAGATGTAATTCCTAACCTTAACCATCAACTGTAACTCATGATTCTAATTCCTTACACTGGTTTATAATCTTCATTTAGTCCTAGTTATTAGGTGAACACTCTCAAGGTCATCCTAGTGGCGCTCAAATGTCATCCATAAATTATAGTCTCATCCTAACTTCTTAATAATTTAAGACATACAACTTCAATCATTAGATTGTAAAGACAAATTAACAACAACATTTTTCTTGTTAATGATTCCTTCTATTGTAACTGTACAAACTTATTTATTTGCTTAAAATAGTTGCCTATCCTAAAATTGAATGTTGTTGAAAAACTCATGATCTTAACCATTGAAATTACTATGATATCCGCAAAACCCAACTGATGTTAATCAACATATGCTCACTAGTGACTGGCTGCACGAGGTATATACTGGAGTTCTAGTGAGAAGTAGTGACCAGTGGAGTTCATCCAGGTCTGTTGTGAGATAGTAACTCACTGAAGACAATAGTGGATGTGTCGCTCAATTCCGTGGATTAGTTGGAGTTAGATATTAACACCGTTGGATGCCGGCTAAGGGGTCTAGTGGTTAAGTGCTCACGCGCGAAACCAGTAGGTCCTGGGTTCTGATCTCACAGGGGGCGAGGTCGTGGATGCGCACTGCTGAGGAGTCCCACAATAGGACAAAACGATCGTCCAGTAATTCCAGGTTTTCCATGGTTGTCTAGTTTCAACTGACTCTTGATCTTAACCATTAAAAAATAATTGTTTACAAAAAATCAGATATTAAAAAGAAAGTTATATTATAATAATAATTTCAATGAAAAATGTTAAGGTGAAGGTAACTGTTTACTTGTTAAATACTAAGAACAGATTAATTAAATAAAGGTGATAATGTAGGTATCCATGCCAAAGTTGGACCTTATAGTTTTAAATGAATTGAGCATTTTTGAGGGGGGGGGGTACGATTTAAACTTGTGTTAGTTTAATGTTCGGTTATTTATTTACTCAAAGAAGTGACTTACATAAAGTCACAAAACATCGTCAGAAATACGATTTTTCTACTTATTGCAACATAACAAAAAGTACTTATTAAGGTCATGTTATAACTTGTGGCCTGTGTGCCCTAACGTTACCGCCAATTAGAGAAAAGTGAATTATCGACCGGACCAATGACGCATAAAACAAGTACGAGCAGTCTAGACTCCTTATCGGTCTTACTTTCTGCCTAGTCCGGCCTGTTAAGTCCAGAACATCAATCTCAGCCTCTGCAATATGAATCATTTCTTTCAAGCATACTGGGTTTATATACCAACTAAACAGACGACAACGTACCGTAAAATAGAAAATAACATTTGTACACGATCTAGCCAAAGTGGCTGTGAATGTGGAAGACTGTAATTAATTGACTGGACATAACTCAAGAATGGTAAATCGTATAATAATAGTTCATAGGTCAAAATAAATCTCATAATAAGAGGAACACGAATATGTATAGTTCAGTTACTTATCAATTATACGATAAAAAATATATGTAGATTATTAGTCCATAAATAGACCTCAACAGTTAACATTCATTATTCTCATCGGGATAGGTAATAATGGTTAATTAATAGTTGTAAAAAATAATTTGGTAGGAATAGATTATGGAAGATAGAAAGGAATCTTAAGACTGTATATAAAATGAGGGATTGAATATACTGTTTTTGTACTTAAATGTTTGGATTGGATAAGTGGATAGTTATGGCTTTTCATTTTCATTCCTCTTCAGTCGACTCTTTTGACAGTATTTATGATTTGTAGAAAAAGGATCTTATCGAAGCAAAGTGATTGAAATTAACTAGATGTTGCATGATTGAACTTTTGGCTGACTTCTGTAGTCCTTTTAGATAACCAGGGGATATTTAATTTTTGTAGAAAGCTAATAACACAATACTATCCCAATCATTTTGAAATTATTCAACACTATTTTGTTTTCAGTATAGGGCTATGGAAATAGCTCAATTTTATTGACTTCGCGCACTCATTTATGTTGAACAACCATGCACCTGAATACCGTCTCGTCCTAGTATAGGACTCTTGCGAATGTTGGTGTCTACGTTGGGACTCGAACCCAGTACCTCTCTCTTCAAACGTCCAACACATTATCCACTGATCTACTGAATAGCCACTGGCTTGTGCAATAAAGTGAATCCTAATTCATTTGTTTTGGTTGTCTGAATCTTTCGGTTGATCTTATATACTGCAATTGATCAGCCTCTTTTGATATACGTGTATTTTGTGCTAAAAAGATAGTACGTTGAACATTTTAAACGTAAAGTACCTCATTTGATTCCCAGTTTCGACGTCGACTTTCGGATACAGGTATATTCAGGCGACCAGTCTTAATTAGAATGCAACATGCACCCGAGATTACATTGCTAGCTACTATAAAAATTTACTTAAATTATTAGTTTGTAGATTCGAATCCTACTAAACTTATTTCTATTTATCTAGATGTTATGATGAGACAATAATTTATGGACGACCTTAAGGCGACGCTAAAAAGACCTTGAGAATGTCTACCTACATACTACGGTTAAATGAGGGTTATAAGCCAGTGTGAGCAACTGGGATTAATATTTACAGTTGATAGTTAGGTTTAGGAATTGAAAATAGGGTTTTCATCACGAACTGACATCAGCTGTTATTTAGCCAAATGGATGTGAATGGATTTTGCGCCGAAATTCAAGACCTTTTATCTCATACCTGATTGGTTCGTCTATAAATTATAGTCTCACTGATATTATCACTAACAGCCTTCACGTAAAAAAGTTTTTTTTTGTTGAAAAGCAAGTACATAAATTCGCACATAATAAATAATTGACATTATTATTACTATTGTTATCATATTTATTATTATTATTTAGGGTGTTATTAGCAGAATAAACTATTGATCATGTTACATGTTTCCACCTGACAACTTATTCTATTCAACACTTTAGTGTTTTATGCTAATAAAAATAAAAGGTTTTATACATAAAAAACGATTGTGAATCAAATGCACGAATAGTGAACGTTCAGTCATAAAAAACAAACTAGTTTGTTTATGTGATATAGTTGGAAAAACAAACATGATAAACATTTAAAAAATGAAAGAATTTATTGAATATAATAGATGAAATTAAAATGTAATAATGATAATAATGGTTGGATTTTTTAAAGTCCCTTCAATAATAAATGACCGAAATGTCCTGGTACGACAGAGAGTGGAGAGAGTCCGCTTCCCCCCAAAAAATGCTCTCACATGGCCACGCGTATACAGCCTCTACCAGGGAAGTCCTACTCACTGCCTTCTCGTGGCAGGGATGTTGTTTATGAAATCGAGAGGACGAAAAGCGAACGTCCGGTGCTTTAACCGGGTTGGTGGACATGGAGTTGGAGTTGGAAAACCCTAATTCCAAACCATTGGTGCACATGAACTCCATGATCCTGAAAGAACAAATGGCGTATGAAATAATCGTTGATCACCGGCTACCATGAGACTATATGTCCTGACGTTGCTCCACTGCCTTGTGGATTAGACCTTTAGGTCAAAGGCTTCAGGTATGGCCCCCTAAGAAAAGTACCTGTTTCGGTTTGGGCACCCGGGCAGTATCCCAGCCCTCACACATATCAAATGAGATCCGTGTGCCGTATATGTATTTGATGCATCCATGTACCAATAGCTATGTGTTAAAATAAATAAATAAAAAATCTTGAATTGAGGTGCATATTTTTATCATGTATTGTTTATGAATAAATGGTAAACTCATTTAATATAGTTAGACATTAACACCGTTGAAAACTGGCTCAGTGGTCAATAGGTTAAGTGTTCTCGCACGAGACAAATAGATCCTGCGATCGAATCTCGCAAGGCGGGATCGTAAATGCACATTGCTGAGTTGTCCCACAATAGGAAGGAACGAACGTCCATTGCTTCCAGGTTTTCCATGGTGGTCTCACTTCAATCAACTTATGATCTCAACTATTAAAAATTAATATACATTTGTTATTTAACCTAATTAATCGGACATCCAAATCAAATAATAACCATTTCGTGTAAATTTTACATGTTTCCATGTAAAGCAAAAATACAAAACAAAACTTGAAAATTCACTTCCAACATGTGATCTAATCTGAGATACACTAGTGTTATAAGATTTCTCATTTAACAAGTTTATTAGACTTCATATTGAAAAGTAAATCATGCCTGAGAAAAGAACTATAAACTAATTCAATCTAATTAGTATTTATAAATTTGTCAACATTATTGATAAAATCATTTTTAAAATGACAGTGAAATAAGATTGATTATGATATAATTGTGATAAATTTGGGAACTTAAACGGAATGAATAAATTATTTACGGTTTGTGGAGGTTGTTAAATTTCATAGTTTACATTTCGAACTGGTTTCATTTAAATAATCATGAAAGGCTAGGAGACACTGAACAACTGTCTTTATCCTAGTATGGGACTCCTCAACAGAACTTCCGCACAACTTCACGGAGCTTCAGATCTGGGACAATCATTTCTCTAGACGAGCACATCTCTTCAGTTGAGAGGCAGTGACCCAAAGATGGTTACGTACTGATTGAATTTAGACATATAAACCACTAAATGGACCATTCAGTAGTATAAATCTTAAGTGTTCATTGTGAGCTATTGATGTTCTGGTTTCGATTCACGTGGGGTCGTTAATGTACATTGTTGAAGAGTCTCATATTATGACGAAAATGTTGTCAAGTACTTCACGCTTTTTAGTAATCGCCTAGCTAAGTTTAGTTCGTGATCAAAACTATAAAATGGGTAGCGCTATCTTAATGATTAGTACTGAAATTTCAACTACTTAATAAGTTGGAACGTTGCTTGGTCCATTTCTTTGTGAGTAGCTGTATTGTATCCTCCACTCATTAAATTAAACGTATATGCCTTATAGTCGAGGCACTGAATTCTGTATGAGATAACTGAGTTTTAGCATAAAATTACGACAAGACTGCTATAAAATAGAATATATCTTTACCTTGGTTTCAGATAGATTTATCTGCCAATAAAAGCATTTTGTCACTTGGAAAATACTTGTTAACGTATTCTTCAAAGAACTAATCCAACCTCTCAACATATCTCGATGTCATAACTATCTAATTCTTGACTGTTGCATTGTTTATTGACGGATTTATAGATCCATCTCTAAAATTTCATAATAGAGTCGCTAGATTTTTATTTATTTATTTGAAACAAATATTGGTACAAAGGGGAGCCGAATAAATATGCACCACACAAGTCATTTGGTTTGTGTGAGGGCTGGGATACTGCCCGGGTGCACAGACCGAAGCAGGTGGTTTTCTAACGGGGCCTTATCCGAAGCCTTCTACCAAAAGGTCTGATCTACAAGGCAGTGGAGCAACGTCAGGAGATGCAGTCCCATGGTAACCGGTGACCAACGATTAGTTCATACGCCATTTTTTTCCTTCAGGATCCTGGAGTTCATGTGCACCAACGGTCTGGAATCAAGGTTTTCCAACTCCTCTAGGTGGACTCTCCATGTCCACCAACCCGGTCAAAGCACCAGACATTCACTTTTCGTCCTCTCAATTTCGTAAGCAGCACTCCCTGGTGCGAGAAGGTAATCAGTAGGACTTCCCTAGCAGTGGTTGTATGCACGTGGCCATGTAAGAGCATTTTGAGAGGGAGAGCTGATTCTCAAGACCTTGTAAAGGAGAAGAGTTGGGTGTGGGGTCGTTAACTCCATCCCATAGAAGACGCCCCTGTTTTCAGCTCATGAACTAACCTTGAAAACAAAGCTTCTTCTGTACTTTTCTCCGTTCTTTCTGTTTAGGAGTTTGAGAATAAGAGATTTCTGAAGACTAGAAAGTTTTCAATTTGCAAATTTGTGATTAATCAACTAACAATAAAATAATTTTATAAACTATTCCCATAAATTATTTTATCCATACTAGGCTACTTTCAATGATCTCTTATCTTTTACCTCAGTTACTACTTTCATTCGACCATATTATAAAGATATAATATTGTACAGTGTTTTTACTATATATATCATAACTTTTTTGTCAATTGTAAGGCAATGAATAGAATCTTTGAAATAACTAAGTCCATATTGTTGTGGTACAATAATGCTAGTTGTTTTAAGAAATTCTATTAAGATGTTGAGTTGAATAAGATAAATTAGAAATGTCCAAAAGTCACAGTATTTTCAATGTTTAAGCATAAAACATGGCGTTTAGAGTAATTCTTTCGATATATGTTTCTGTACGTACATCAACGCGCATATATAAACATCTATCTGATGAGTCCTGAATATGACGAAAATTTTATCCTGAATTCTACTCCTAGATCACAATTCATAGATTCCATGATGACTCTTAAAGGTTGAAGAAATTTGTTGGTTATTGACATTCGATCGTAGATATATTATCAGAGCATTACTTGTGTATGATAAGATTATCAAGTGAATAATTCCAAAGTTAGACATAGGGTACCAAGTAGATAGTATTATGTTTTGCTTTAAGTAATGGCAAGATCTTTGGGAACGTAACTTAATACACATTTGTCTACCATAATTTTCGCTGCTATTTACAACTAATTGACTTTTAAAGTTCTTTGTGCAAATCAAACCATAATTTTTAAAAATATTTTCTTTTTCTCTAATTGTTAATAGTTATTTTGTGGTTCCTGTTCAGCATATAAAGCTCCATTGGAATCTTGTGGTGGTAAATATGAACGAGTATGTGTTGTAGACTATTATTTACTTAATAAGAATTTCAAACCTCCAAAACCTAAAATTATGGAGGCGATATTGCGTCGAGTAGACAAAGTAAGTTTCTTTTGTTTAAAAACAATCACTGAGTAGTTTACATATCACAGTATTAATAAGTATAATTTATTACTGTCTCATTCACACAGTTCCTTTTTATTCTCTATAGAACTATTCCTATTCAAGTACACAATTGTTTGAGTAGCTTAAACCGTGCCCAACCAATCTTCTCATCCTTTATTATCTAGCCCATTCTTGAATGTAACATTAACATTGTTTCCAACTCATATTAAATTAGGGAAACTCAAACCATATGGTAGACATCTGTTGAATGTATAATTCCCTTACAAATTTTTGCAGTACATTACATTCTAAGTAATTATTATAACTTATTGGTCAAGTATTAATTTATGTTGTGTTATTCGGTTTTGAGCTCCAAATTTTTTATATATGACCTATTGATACTCTATCCACTTACTCAGATGATCGAATTTGTTAAACGGAGGTTCATTTTTACTTATTTACACCTGTTACTCCTCGGGGAGGAGCATAGGTCACCAACCAGCAATCTCCATCAAACTTTGTCCTGGGCAGTCCTTTCCAGCTCTTTCTAGTTGTTATTCATCCTTTTCATATCTGCCTCTATTTCACGATGTAATGTGTTTTTTGGCCTTCCTCTTTTTCGCTTCCCTTCAGGATTCCAAGTTAGGGCTTGCCTCGTGATGCAGTTTGGTGATTTCCGCAATGTATGTCCTATCCATTTCCATCGTTTTTTCTTAATTTTCTCTTCAGATGGAAGCTGGTTTTTCTTTTTCACAGTAGGCTGTTGCTGATGGTATCTGGTCAATCAATGGATGTTGAGTATCTTGTGTGGGCAACTATTTATAAATACTTGCACCTTCTTGATGATGGTTGTAGTGGTTCTCCAAGTTTCAGCTCCATAGAGTAGAACTTTCTTGATGTTCGTATTGAAGATTCTCACTTTGATGTTAGCTTGCAGACAGTTGTTTAGAGTTCCATATGTTCTTCGATTGTAGGAATGTGACACTTTATGTCTGCATCAGATCCTCTATGTTCATTGATGATGCTCCCCAGATACATAAAAGATTCCACATCTTCCAGAGTTTCCCCATTAAGTGTGATTGCTTTAGTGTTCTCCGTGTTATATTTGATGATCTTGGTTTTTCCTTTATGTATCTTGAAGCCCAAACTGAGGTTCATACAACTGTTTTAATCAATAACTCCCCCTCGTTATTACATAAGTTGTTAATTACAGTTTATATTTGAATAGTAATAATCTTTGTAGAATATTACTGTTTTTTTTAATATCATCTTAGATGTGACTCATATATATGATCATGAATCTTTTCACAATTTAAATCACGAACTGTTCTCCATTATAAATATATTTGTCATAGAACTTGGTAACTAATATATATACATATGTTTATGTTTACCATTTGATTTACTGTAAAAGTTCATTTTATCACTTAGTCATTTCAACCAATTTAGCCTTATTTAATGTGAATGATTAGTTAATTCAAAGTCACGTTTAATTTATTTCGACCATAGATTTCATTGTATTGAACACACACAAAAAAAACGTTACACAACAGTGTAGATAACATACCATTTCATGAAATGTTTATTACACCATACAATAATGGATTCATTTAACATGTATGTATATATACAATAAGTGAAAATATGAATATGAATATTTTCATGTAAACAATATGATGATATACAAATTGATTAAACTGTTTATAAATGATCAAATATTTCCATCAAATTCATCTTTGATAACTTCATAACTTCATAGTCTAGCTGTGAAATGTTAGATATACAGTGAGTTGGTCGAGTTTTGTTCTCTGAGCTAAATAGTTTGGTCTTAGGGTTTTCATCTTTATTCTGACTGACATCATCAGCACAAACGTCTATCTGAAGTTTGTGATGATGAAGATGTCGTTCAAAATAACAATGGGAGCTCCACAACCAAACCATCCAGCTCAGAGAATAAAACTCTACCAAAATATGCAGTGAGTCTGACAGTAATTCCGCTTTTATATATATATATATATATATATATATATATATATATATATATATATATATAACTTGGTTCTTTCGTAATGATGTTCAAAGAATTTCTACTTTCGATTATCGTTATCCTTGAAGGACTATTGATAACCTGTGATAACACTGCGTAAACAAGACGAATATCCGACAATATCTGTTCAAGTGGTTCAATCGATCTCATGATCTTAAAACACCAGTTTCCGTCACTTTAACATTTTTCTTGAATATCATCCTTGCTGAATTTAGCTTATTATTTATAATCGTTAGGACTGAGTAAAGAACACAGAGGTGATCAGTTTATAAGATGGTCCAGTAGTATGAACGATAGCTATATAGTGTTGATAGCGAAGAAAATTTTCTTCTCATAGTTGTGTGGTAATGTGATGTGTGTTACTCATGTCGACAGATATAAGTAATATGTAACACTAATCGAAAGTGCAATGCCTGACAACATAAGGTTAAGAGGATCTAATAGAAGGGAATGGGAACAGGGAGTTATTGGTATGAAAATGAAGGAACAATAAATTCTGAAACAGTTGACTGACATTTTGCAAATGAAGTATTAAACGTATGATATTCACATTTTCCCAAATCACTCTGTAATTTTGTGTTCAAATACATTTGGTTGTCCCCAATTGTGTTCTCGTTCATTACAGTAAATATATGTCTGTAGAAGGATAGGAAAGATTTCACCATAAAGTGATTCGAGACACCAAATATCAGATGAGATTGAGCAATCATCATGGTGTTAGAGAACAATAGGAGAATGAAATTAATTTGCGAGTCAAAATTACAAAAGATGATTTTCCGCTTGACAGATATGAAGAAAAACGAAAAACATAAAGATCATAAAAACCTAATAAGGATCATGAAAAATTATGAAAGGTTATTATTAATATTAACTAATTATGGTTTATAATTGCAAAACAGAACCAAAACATACTACAGAAGGGAATTAGGGCTAAGGAAGGATAAGAGTTTGGATCGATCGTTTATGAACTTAGAGTTCGGGCTTAAATTGGTGAATTGCCAACGCCTCAGCAGTACATTGTATCTTTGATCAACTATCATTCTTACTTTTCTATACTAATTTGATAATCTTTTCCCTCCTTCCACCTTTCTTTTTTTTCACAAATATAATATCATTCCAATTTATTATGATACATTTTCATTTAATCTCCTGTTGCACCAAAACGTTTTATGTATTGTTGTATTCATATAAATGTTTACATTACTATTTAACAAACAATCATCCTCATTGATAAACTGTCTAAATCAAAGAAATAAAGCCTTTCAACTTCCATTAAAAATGATTATCATTTTAAAGGATTTGAGTACTTTCTAGTGTCAATAATACTACCGATTAGAATTAACAAGTTTCTATTGAAAATATATACTGTCAGAACGGGTTTTGTGGAGATTTTTAGTAATTTCACTGGTTGAAATCATGAGTCAATTGAAGCTAGACCACCATGGAAAACCTCACTGACTTCAGGAGACACTCCTGCAGTTCTAGTGAGAAGTCGTTACCAGTGGAGTTCAACCAGGTCTGTTGTGAGATAGGAACTCACTGAAGACGATGGTGTACGGTGGCGCAACTTCGTGGATTGGTTGATGTGAGACATTAACACCAATGGATGCCGACTCAATGGCCTAGTTGGTTAAGCGCTTGGCACGAGACTGATAGGTCCTGGGTTCGAATCTCGCGGGGTGCGTGATCGTGGATGCGCACTGTTGAGGTGTCCCATACTAGGACAAGACAGCCATCCAGTGCTCCCAGGTTTTCCATGGCGGTCGAGCTTCAATTGGCTCATGATTTCAACCAGTGAAAATATATACGTTATAAGAAAATTTCTTTAATAGTACCTCTAATTTCAAGTTGTTAGTAAATTTAGATTGTAGTTAGTGATCGAATACTGGAAGAACGTTTAATGTTGTTTAGTATATCCACAACAGATAAATCCTATAGATTTCTTTGAAGACTTTTATCTATCTAACTTCTTTACATGAATGTATCCTCAGTTTTGTTTCATGAAAACAAAAAAAAATTAAGAATGATTGGTTCAGTGAAAACAAAATTGAGACATTCTTAACATAAAGTTGATTATTTCATTGTTTCATTACTTGTTTGTTTGTTCGTTTTTTCTTCTTTTGTATATTGATGAAGATTATCATTGTAAGTTTTTATCAACCCTGCCCCCTCCAAAATAGAAAACAGTAACCTAAGCTAACTAACACCATGCCTATTTCACTTAATTTCAATGTTCATACGTATAAATATTTCAATGATTTATATACTGTTTATTTAATCATTCAAATGCGGGTTTATTATTTGATAACACAATTGGTAAAGGTTTCAAAACGATAGGATTAGAATACACATTATTATTATTATCGTAAAGTGGGACCTATAAAATTCTTTAAATGGTGTTTGTAGAATCTTCAAGATCGACTCACTTTAAAGTCAACTTGGTGATTGACACAAATATCAAATATACCATTCTTTAATTCATTTGTATCGGTTGTTTGAATCTCTCCATTGATGTTAGTAACTGGAATTGAGTCTTAGAGTGAACATCTACTATGAAATGCAGGTACAAATAGCTGACGAATCCCAAAGAGGATGAAACGCGCGCCCTGGTTTTCACTTGTATCCATTATCCTTTTCTTCTTATTATACCCTTCGTTTCCGTTTACTAACTTACTTGTTGACTATTAGTCCGACGCTTATTTCAATCACTTACCGTACAGTGTAGAACAAAGTACAAAAAAATGTGCATCGACCTAAATTTTCATTGCTGAAATCAGTAAACTAAAAACAAAGACTATTAAAAATCGGGATTTAAAGTTTCAGAATAGACAGTTCGTAGCTAGTTATGGGATTTATGATGCTCGTTCTATCGTATATGGGACTCATCAGCTGGATCTACATCCATCTTAGTTTTTTAACCTTTATTAATCATGATATTAGGATTCAGAGGAAGATTTCATGAAAAGATAAACAAATTCACCTGTTCTAATATGTCCTATTCTGAGTCATAGCACTTAGTATACAGTTATAAATTTCAATTATCTCATGAGACTCCAACAAAGGCGCTCATAAATCCGATCAAATAACTTCATAGACTGACTTTTTATTTATGATAGTCTGATGGTCTCCTTAACCTGTTTTACAGTTGCTAAAAATTAATAAACCAAATCAATATTCTGTCACAAAAATAGCAATGGTTGAGTAGAAAGCGGTCATGAGCACTATTGAGTTGTAGTTCGCATGTTCAATCTGATGTTTTGATTTTGCATCGAGAATATTTGAAACTCCAAACACATCTCATTATTAAATGTGTAAGAAGTATGAAATCTTAGCCTTTTCCCTTCTCCTCTTAGACACCTTATACTTAGATTATCAACTGTATTCGTTACGTACCAACCAATTAACTCATAATTAGGCTACTTAAATAAGGATCGATATTCATGGTCTAAATTTGCTCACCTGTCAATCATCATCTCACTGTAAATAAGTATTTTACTGCATAGAATAAGAGTAAGTTCTGTAACAGTGATAATCTCTGTGTTATTTGATTTTGGGTAGTTGGAGGTAAACGGTAGGTATCCGCGAACCTGGTTTTTATGCTAGTTGTCGCTCATCATCAAGGTGTACTGATGGTTCGTGTTGAATTTGAGCTCAGGTTACCCAGATTTGTAGTATAAGACGTTGCCGTTGAGTTATTAAAACAACAACTTACCTTTATGATTGGGACATTTGCACTAGTTATTTAATTCTTAGTGCTGGTAGAATTCTATCAGCCAGGTTGTAATGTAACTAGTTTTAGATAGACACGTTTGTCTGGCCTTTTGTGTTTTTTCTGTAATTGTCATTGTTATGAAATACCTTTATGTGTCATAATTTGATTTACAGCAGCAACCACCTCAGCCGTTGAGAACTGGTTTCTTAATGTGGAGTCATTTCAATAATTCATGGTCTACAAAATCACCTATTCGACTACCAAAATCTTCCGTACAGTATCGATCTGTTGATACAAGTTCTGAAATACGAAAAGAATTGCTTCGTGATATTGGTCCATTTAACTCTTCTAGCAAATTTGCATGCAAAAACTCTTCTACAGATCCCGTGGACAATCATCATGATTCAAATACCAAATCAACTTCTAATTCACTGCCTCACATCAACAATCGATCGTTCGACTCATCAATTAATATAGAATCGACAAATCATAAATCATCATCTGCATGCCTATCTCGTTTATTTTGTGTTTTACAAACGGATACTTCATTCGAATTCTACGCTGCTCGTGCTGATACACGTGCAGTAGATAAAATTACTGTGATAGGTTTACGTTTATTCTACCTAGATGATAATTTCAATGATACATTTTCAAATCACAATGGTAATTTATCAACAATACAACAACCTACGCTGCATACTAAAGCACGAAGTTTTGATAATTCGTCTAATGTGAACAAGGATTTTCCTGAAAACACTATTGGGTCATTTAGACGGGAATATTCTAGATTATATAGACAAGGTAATCCTATATATCGAAACTGTAAACCTCCTCCACGGGATCGTAACATATTTGATCATGGATTTCCTAGTGAAACATCTAGTCTTTCAGATGTAACATCTTTATCGAAATCTTATATCAAACCATCATCAATTAGTACCTTAGAAGCTGATAGATTATCGAACCGATCTACACAATCTTGTAGAGAAAGATCCTCTAAAGAGAATCATAAAAATTCTGTATGTAATTTTTCTGGTGATCAATCCAATGATGATGAGGGAATTGTAACTAACAGTGAAATAATAAAACATGTAGAAACAATCAGTCCTGAGATATTGGGTCTTCTGCGTAATAATTTAGGTTTTCTTCTGTTACCTTTAAATACAGACCGTCCAGCACATTATTTTGAAGCAACAACAGTAGAAATCAGAACACAGTGAGTCTATATTTTTACTTTATTTTTTTGGCTTTTAGCCTGTTTTAAAACTTTTTTTGTTGTGACTTGATGAGATCATTGTTTTAACAACATTTATTCTTTTAAGTAAATCAAAGAGTAGTTACTCACAGTGAGAATACTATATAAAAATGGTAAATCGACTGTTAATTCCATGATAATTCATCAACTGGAGTTGTTGAAAGATACATTAAATACGCCTGGAAGAAATCTAGGGCTTCCATACCGAGACGTTATATCAATTCAGTGTCAGGTTGTTGAAACAAGCTGTGTTTGGAGGTACAGATTACCTGTCTAAAGTTTGCTGAACAGTTCTGTAGTAGGAGACTGTTCAGATATGACTCGAACTTGGTCTCAGTTGCACTAATTTGTCTTACTTTTCCTTCACTAAATCTTCAATTAATTATTTTATTCTTATTATTAGATTTGTTCTCTGAGCTTAGAGAACGAAACTCTACCAACTAAAACATTAAGTCACTGAAGCGGTGTCTAAATATCAGCATTTTCAACCTCATTTAATTTACCTTTTGATCACCTTCATCTGTGTTAGCTACTTATGCGAATCTTGAAAAAATGCATTACAAAGCTAGTAAGTTCCGAAGTATAATTTACTCAAGCAGTTAGATAATGTTAATATAGTCAGAAATAAGACTGTAATATGTTAATGACGTTTAGCCAGGGCGTCGGTATATCGCTAGCTGACTGGTATCAGGAAATGTACGAACTGATTCCAACTCTTTGGCCGATTAAAAAGTGTACTCTCCCTAAAAAGTTAGAAGCCTTCTCCTTGACCATAAGTGGAGTCATGGTCCTGTACCGCTAAGAATTCCTGGGCGAAGAGGATTGTATATTTCCAGTTTTTTGTCATTTTAAATAGTCCCTTAATGGATATCAGTCCGGTAATAATATCACTCAATGTTTTTTCTAGATCTTGAACTTCACTATTTCTTTATATACATACCCTCCCACTCTGTCTTTTTGAACCAATATTTAGTCTTTCTCATTATCATTGCTATCATATATTTTTTCGATCTCTTTTCCCATTCATCTTATCATCGTCATCTCATCGTGCTTATTTGTCATAGAAACGTGAGCTAACTCACCATTTTACCAGACTTCACCCTGATCATGACTGATTAACTCTGAGGAATTGTCCTTTCTTATTTTTAGTTTCATAAAATTGCTTTGTTTTAACAATTCCTGCAACGTAGTGCCTAATCAATTAATTGCAAAGCAATTAACTGACTCTTTATTTTTAAAAAGAAAAGACATTGACTAACACCTTTCTTAGTATGTTATTTTCTAATTATCCAAGTTTACTTGTTTACTTGGATTAAAATATTTAGAGGTCAAAACAATTTCACCTTATCAATAAAGGTAATGGATCAACAACATATTTTTTGTTGTAAATAAGCAGGCTTAACTGTACTGATTTGCTTCCACCTTTTTCTTAAGGCTTTATTATCATCAGTTCTTATCTCTTCATATTAGACGTGTTCAATTACACAGTAATGTTTATCTTTTTTATGAATCACTTCAACTCTCTCTCTCTCTCTCTACATTTCACTCACACATACATGCACACACATTCACATCTCTAAACGTTTCTGTATTTATTTCTTTACTTTCTCAGATGGATCAATTCTATTCGTCGTGTTTGCATAGATTTCATGTCCTCTCCGCCTTCCAGGTGAACATGATAGAGAGGTGAATGCATCTACTACCATCTATCGGTCAATATTTTTGGATAGAAATAACAAATAAAAAGTTGATTTTATCAGATTATCTTGTAAGATGTTGTTTGTTTGTTTGTTTTCTTCATATTTTAATACCATATGTTTATTTGTTATTTTGTTTGTTGAAACAACAACAAAAAAGATCTTTTTTTAACCTCTCTTATTCTTTCAATATAATGCGTTACGTTACTTACAAGTAGTATGTTTATTTTTTTATAAATATAATGAAATTGTGACTTAATTTCATCTTGTTGTCATGGTGTCTCTGTTCCATGAATTACTTTTCGATATTGTTTTTATTCCTCATATTGATGAGTTATGTTGTTTTTTTTTGTTTTTGTAAACGGGCATAAGTTCGAGTCTTTTCTACTATTTATAGTAATTTTATTTGATTTTTTTTAAAGCGTTTTTTTTCTTATTCTACCGTACTTTTGATTGTTTATATTGTGTTCTTTTCTCCCTCACATAATTGAATATGATTTTCTTTTTGTTTATTCTCAATTTAATTTTAATGGATGGATGTAAATGGGAAGGTAAGATAATTCTATGCTATTTCTAATAGTCTATGTGGTTAGAGACTACTGGAATATTGGATTTCAATCTGATTATGGGTCATTCATTTTGTTGAATAAGACTTTTTTTTAGAAATAATTAGTGTCATTTTAATGATTTTGATTGATATCCAGTACTTTATTAATGAGTAATTGGTTTTCCAGCTAATTACATTTTGTGATGTTATCTGTTCCCCGTATGTTTTACCCTAACTTACTGACTGATACAGAAATACAGTTCTACAATGTTGAGATGATATTTTTTGGCCTACTGATCTGACTACAATTTTGTTGTACAACAATGTTAACGAACTATACATCCTGGCTACACTCGTACATAATAATCGATTTAATTCGCGTTAAAGAATAACAGAATAAACTATTCCAAATATGAGAATGAACCTTGAATACGTATAATTTCGCACACATTTTGATTCATACAAATAAAGCGGAGAAGCAGACCGGAGAAGGCATGTGTGCCAACTAAACTTGATAAAATGTGATTAATATTTATATCCATAAATAAATAAGCTAAAGATAATTGATGAATAGGGTAAGTGGTACACACATGCGCTCATATAAAAATAGTCAAGGTTAGTAAACTAATAAGTGACAAATTCAAAATGTGACTCCATAAAAATAAATAAGTTGGTTTGTCCGGAGGCTAGAATAATCTATATGGCCTTGATATAGTACTAGACACAACAAACATGTAGACTAGTTTATTAAACGACGTAAAAACAACCACGACAAAATATAATTATTGTTTGGTATCGCGCACTAACTTGAACTGAACAGTCACTAAAAACGAGGAAGCTCTGAAGAGCCGCTTCTTACAAGTATGGATATCTTCAGCAAATTGCGTCAACTACTTCACCATCCATCGGACAAAGAATATTCAAGCTTTTCTTATAGTTGTTTACCTTCAGAAAATTAGGTAGGTTGAATCTCCTGTAATACTAGAATATAATTGCGTTCTAATGTCTACTAGCTCAATTCGGTTTAATCCCAGATTGCTTTAAATGAGACTTTCTTCAGTAACGCGGTTTTTTAATGCAATCATTGTTTGTATTTCTCAATTTATTTCATCATCTTGACTATAGAGCTTCGAAATGTACAGTGAAAACTAACACATACGTATTATATTTCTAAAAGATATGTAGTAACAGTTTCATCAGAACGTTAAGTTAACCACATATTTAAAATTAGGCATTGTCACATTTCGAAGATATTGGAAGTGCTTGTCAGTTGAAGCTGTCAATTTTACATGACTTTTCATGAAAAGCAATGAGTTCATCACATTTTCTTTTCAGTACAAGATTATTGAATGTTAGAATTGTAAAGTTGCTGACATTGTGTACTGATAGTCTAAAATAAATTTCTGAGCCTAAATCATTTCATATTGATTGATTACTATCCTAGTGACTAAATTTAGTCCAATTTTAATTCGTTAAATGAGTGTTGTCAGTTATTTCAGAACTGTTGTCTCAAATCTCCAATTATTTTATGTTTATTTGAATAACTATTTAGAACAACATAGATATATAAGCGAACAATATTGTTTTCCATTAGATCCTCATCAGGCTTTACTCTAATATACAGTAATATTTATATGCATTTCTTATTACGTCATCTCATAATTTTATAATTGTTATCTCAGTTTCTATATTTTCTCCTAATCATTGACCTATTTCCGATTATGTAACATTGATTTGAACCTTTATTATTATTGCTTATCAAAACTAATGCACCTGTTGTCACACCATCAATTTGTACTTTTCACATTTTACTTATTATGTAATCGTTTTCATTGTTATCATCATTGACTTATAAACTACCTTGATTGGTTTAATTCATTTCGTATATGCATATGAATACATTACTGTATATTAGAGTAAAGCCTGATGAGGATCTAATCGAAAACAATATTGTTCGCTTATATATCTATGTTGTTCTAAATTTACAATGTGGCAATATTTCAAATTTTGAATAACTATTGTCCAAAAAGAAAAACAAAAAAACTGATAAAAAATACACTGTATTCACACTATATGGTATAGTTATTATTTAGTACGATCTGTGTTCGATGGTATTAGTGTAAGTATATTACTGGATTATATCCGTTGTTCAGCATAACTAGTATACGACTTTCAAACAATGTAGGGTTGCCTACTGACGAAATCAAAATATGATCTTATGTTTTTATTGGAATAACAATTTTGAACGATCTTTGATGAATCAAATTCAAATTTTAATCACTGGAAAATTCCCATTATATGAGAACACAATTGTATGGAGGAGGAATATTATCTCATATCTAAATGAATAATTCATCAAATTGGCCAGATTTAAGACAGAGAGTACATCATCATTTGGAAATTGTGAATATGTGAATTGAGAATTGTTAGGGCTGTTTAATATAAAGTGTTCACTTGAATCCGTTTTATAAGTGAAATGAAATTGTGAGATAAATCATGATCAGAATAAATATGGTCAACATGGGGTAAGAGAGAAACTAATGGAATAAAAATCGGAAATTACGTAATATGTAGAATAATATGAATTAGGTCAGATATAGTAGATAAGGATGGATACTAATTGAATTCCTCAAAAGGTTATCAAGTGTAAAGATAATAATAATATTAATAATAATAACAATAGCAACAATAATAATAAAGTTTGGGGCATAAAATGAACATTAATCGGATTACGTCACCATATTATAAAATTAATTATTAACTAGTTGGACAGGGTAAAAGGAGTGACTGAACATACTTCTTTTGGATGCAAAGCTCTGGCTTTTTGATCCGAATATCAATTGCTTCAGTCGTCTGTAGGATTCGCAGTCTGACGGAATCAGGTTGACTGCTGTTAACACGATAGATTATTGCAAAAGATTGCTCCATGTTGGCTGTATGTCCTGTCCGAACTAGATGGTCTAAAATGGAGCTGTTAACTGTTTTGACTACACCTTTGCTTAACCACACGGGGAGGTGCTGACGAGCTCGAATGCGCAGATTCCTAGAACATCTGCCAATATAACTTGCTCCACAGGAGCAGTCGAATTGATAAATACAGAAGGAGGTGGCTAGTCTAGGTAATTTATCTTTCAACCCCGAAGTGATTATCGGTCTTGTGGAGAATATTAGTTGTAGTTTAGCTGCATTAAAAGTCCTTTGAATTGATCTGCTTAACTTAAGTCTTAGCATTTCACTCGGTGCATCGCCTCTGAATTGTAACCGTAGATACAGAGGCTTTTTATTTACAGGTGTGCATTCTCTATGTTGTCTTTTATTGGCTATGTTTTTATTTATAAATTTCTCGGGATGTCCATTTTCCTTCAGGGTTATGTATAATGACTTTGTTTCATCTTCAATCGTATCCACAGAGCATATAGTCTTGATTTTATGATGCAGTATCTTAATAAGGTTCCTTTTGTATTGTAGAGGGACAAAACTAAGAAAGATTGTATATTGACCCGTCAAGGTAATTTTCCTCTTTATGTTGTAAATTCTTGTCGAAGGATTCAACTTAATTATTTCTATCAGAAGGAGTTTTTGTGGATGTTACAGTAATTTCAGTGGTTAAGATCATGAATCAATTGAAGCTAGACAACCATGGAAAACCTGGAAGCACTGAACGGCCGTTTCGTGGATTGGTTGGAGTTAGACATTACCACCATTGGATGCCGACTCAGTGGTCTAGAGGTTAAGTTCTCGCGCGCGAGATTGATAGGTCCTGGGTTCGAATCTCGCAAGTCGGGACCGTGGATGCGCACTACTGAAGGGTCTCATAATAAGACGAAACGGCCCGATTAGTGCTTCCAGGTTATCCATAATGGTCTATCTTCAATTGACTCATGATTTCAATCATTGAAATTGATTATTTCTGTTGAGGATATTTTCATTCAATAAACTTACTGAAAAGTACATCAAGTGATCCAATTGTAGAATGTAGCTCATAAAAATTACATTTTAAATGGATTTTTAAAGAATAAAAGTTTTACAGTAGTATCATTATAGAATAAATTTAATAATCTCCATGTACATAAACATAGAATCTACTCACTTTATTGAACATTTTTAACGATGTATGTAGTAATTACTACTAAAAAACGACTATATTTTAGTACATATAGTTCATTCAGAAAATATGTATACCGTACCGGGATTCATTCAAATGTCCATACATCACAAAAACAAACATTAATCTTCTATATGAATCAATACACTAAACTGAAGGTCATTTTTATCGATTCTCAATTGGTTGTTAAACAAGAATGTAGGTTGGTCAAATTAGCTTGACCCAAATTGTTAGAATTATGTTAGTATCTAACCTTTTTAGGGTAACAATCTATATTCGATTTATAGTTGTTATGTTCTCTGAACTTTGTATTAGATTCATCATATTACACTTACTAATTATTTCACTGGTTGAAATCATGAGTCAATTGAAGCTAGACCACCATGGAAAACCTGGAAGCACTGGACGGGGGCGGGATCGTGAATGCGCACTACTGAGGAGTCCCATACTAGGACGAAACGGCCGTCCAGTGCTTTCAGGTTTTCCATAATGGTCTAGCTTCAATTGACTCATGATTTCAACCAGTGTAATTTCTAAGATCTCCACAAAACCCCTTTTTATTAATTATTATCAACATTCTACCACTCCATGATTGATATTCGATTTATCGGGATTGATTATAAGTGAAAGAACTGTCTTCCTATGTTTTACTTTAGAGTTCATGATATCTCTGGGATTGATAAGAGAATACCACCGCATAGGTAGTTGGATTACATGTATATTGTTTAGTCTGACACTACAAGAATTAATTACAGTTAAGTACACAGACTCATATGCAATTATTTATTGAATTTCCCTTGTTTCTTTTATCAAATAAACTTTATAAAAGTTTATATGTGTTGATCAAGTATCGGATTTAGAAAGCCCATGAGGTGATTAAATATTTTCAACCTCTCCTAAAGTAAACATATTTAGCCTGTTATAACTTGTGAACCTGTGTGCCCTGTTTATTGTATAACGCAGCGATACCGCCAATCAGAGAGCAGTGACTTGTCGACCGAATCAGTGACGCATAAAACACGTGCGAGCAGCCTAGAGCCCTGAATGGTCTCACTTCCTGTCTAGCCCAGCCAGAACACCAATCTCAGCCACTGCAATATGAATCATTTATTTCAAACATACTCGGCTTATATATCAACCAGACAGACCACAACGTACAATAAAATAGGAAACAACATTTGTACAAGAATTAGCCAAATGTGGCTATGAATGAGGGAGATAGTAATTAATAGACAGGCCATAATTCATGAATGGTAAATCGTATAGTAATAGTCTATGGGTCAAATTAAAGCTTATAATAAGAGCGACATGA